CGTTTTCTTTTCCTTCTTCTCGATCTAAATCCGATTGCTGTTTAATCACAGGTGAATAGCAAAACATCGTACACCATCCTGAAGAAGAACATTTTGTGGACCGCGTCGTCGGAAGTTTTGTGCGGGGTGGACCTCAAAGTGGGAGAGACCTACGTTGTTAGCGGAAGCACGTATACCGGTGACAAGGCAAACATATCGTTGTGCGGTATAAAGATGGCTTGGCGTTCCGTGACGAGCAGACAACGAAAGGGTTTCAAGCACCTGTATCGTTACGGTTGCCCGTGCAGCGTAAGTAAAAGATCTTCTGCGGATTACGATCGTTCAGAACGTAAAAGTTCCACTTTTATCAGGAAAAATTTAGCTGTCTCTCCTGCGTAAATTTTACAACTTTTCCGCGTAGAGTGAAATAATCAGATGATTTGTAACTTCTGACACACACAGTTAATAACATTGTGCAAGCGGGTCAGATTATTCTCAGATCAGTAATAAAATCATGTCTAAAACATGACTTTTGGCGATACTCAGTTGACACTCTCTTTCTCTGTGTAAAATGAAAATTTCTGCTCTTTTCATTAAATCACGTCACGTTCGTTTTATTTATTAGATTCATTACACGCCTTGGTGGACCAAGGGTGCCGTTCTGGAAAGCACAGACGGCAAAGAGTGCCTGTGGGAAAGCAAGCCGGGTCCTGAGGAGTGCCAGAGGAATTACGGCGTCTGCATGCCAGGACCTCTCGGATGCTCTTGGGTGCCGTCGGTTCCTTATAAGAACTGCATCAAGGAGTATCAGCAGAAACGCGAGCAACAAAGAGCGCGGGAACCTTAAGTCAATCTGTCTCTCGATGCATACGAAAGTTCTACGGTTGAACGAGAGGATCGATCACGCTGGCGAAATAGATGGACGTTGCTCGTGCCAAGTCACGTAGCGCGCTGTTCCAAACGTATTTACCAAACGTATTTGTGAAATTTCGCGGAATTCCCACGAGAATATATGTACCTCGTGAGTAACGAGCGTTCTGATACGCAGCAAAACTGTCGCTGTACCGTTGGATGCAAACACGTTGACGAATTAATGCTATCCATCCATCGTGCGCGCGCACGGTTTATTTAAATTCTCCTGTATCGGGCGGTATATCTTCAAAGAACAGACGTTCCTTCAACAACCAAAACGGTCGGAAAAGAAGTTTCTTCTGCAAGTCGAATTAGCCGAGATAGCATTAACGCGTAACGTGACGTTTCTCTATTTCTGCATCAGTGTCATGCTCTATTTATTGTTGCGTTCCATTAGAAGTATTAATCGGATAGTTGTGCGTCGCCGAGTACGCAAAAGTCGTTCGTCGACTGATTAGATATGTACATCGGGGCAGCGAATCGAATGATAAGAAATCGTACACGGCTGGCTGAAGGGAAGCTGTTGTTCAGGGGTATATAAATACAAACCGTCGAACTGTTGAAATTGCTTGCATTTCCATGATAAATTACTTCCTCGACGTTTTTCGAGGTCTGTATTGCAGCGCGTGATAATTGATATCCTTTCTTCCTCCTTTTTACTTCTTTTGTTTTCTAACCGGTCGTCGATTGTATT